GTGTGTGTGTGTGTGTGTGTGTGTGTGTGTGTGTGTGTGTGTGTGTGTGTGTGTGTGTGTGTGTGTGTGTTTGTGTGTGTGTGTGTGTTTGTGTGTTGGTGTGTTCGTGTGTTCGTGTGTTCGTGTGTTCGTGTGTTCGTGTGTTCGTGTGTTCGTGTGTTCGTGTGTTCGTGTGTTCGTGTGTTCGTGTGTTCGTGTGTTCGTGTGTTCGTGTGTTCGTGTGTTAGTGTGTTCGTGTGTTCGTGTGTTTGTGTGTTTGTGTGTTTGTGTGTTTGTGTGTTTGTGTGTTTGTGTGTTTGTGTGTTTGTGTGTTTGTGTTGTGTGTTCGTGTGTTCGTGTGTTCGTGTGTTCGTGTGTTCGTGTGTTCGTGTGTTCGTGTGTTCGTGTGTTCGTGTGTTCGTGTGTTCGGTGTGTTCGTGTGTTCGTGTGTTCGTGTGTTCGTGTGTTCGTGTGTTCGTGTGTTCGTGTGTTCGTGTGTTCGTGTGTTCGTGTGTTCGTGTGTTCGTGTGTTCGTGTGTTCGTGTGTTCGTGGGTTCGTGGGTTCGTGGGTTCGTGGGTTCGTGGGTTCGTGGGTTCGTGTGTTCGTGTGTTCGTGTGTTCGTGTGTTCGTGTGTTCGTGTGTTCGTGTGTTCGTGTGTTCGTGTGTTCGTGTGTTCGTGTGTTCGTGTGTTCGTGCGTTCGTGCGTTCGTGCGTTCGTGCGTTCGTGTGTTCGTGTGTTCGCGTGTTCGCGTGTTCGTGTGTTCGTGTGTTTGTGTGTTTGTGTGTTTGTGTGTTTGTGTGTTTGTGTGTTTGTGTGTTTGTGTGTTTGTGTGTTTGTGTGTTTGTGTGTTTGTGTGTTTGTGTGTTTGTGTGTTTGTGTGTTTGTGTGTTTGTGTGTTTGTGTGTTTGTGTGTTTGTGTGTTTGTGTGTGTGTGTTTGTGTGTTTGTGTGTTTGTGTGTTTGTGTGTTTGTGTGTTTGTGTGTTTGTGTGTTTGTGTGTTTGTGTGTTTGTGTGTTTGTGTGTTTGTGTGTTTGTGTGTTTGTGTGTGTGTGTGTTTGCGTGTGTGTGTCTGTGTGTGTGTCTGTGCTTCTCCGGGTGTCTGTCTGTCTGTCTGCCTGTCTGTCTGCCTCTCTGTCTGTCTGTCCGTCTGTGACTGTGTCTGTCTCTATCTGTCTCTGTCTGTCTACTGGCTCGGGGCGGCTAACAAGTGGGCCCAAGTCCTTGTTCGCGATGTGCCTGAATTGCGGGACTCTCGAAAAGGCGTCTGAGCTGGCCTGGATGGGCCGCCAGTCAGGCGCCCGGAAAGTCTGGAAAAAGTCCAAACAACTTGGGGTGAACTCAAGGTCTTTCTGGACATGTTCGCAGACAACAAGCAGGCCCAGTCCCTTTTCTCGATGTGCCTGATTTGCGAGACTTTTCAGAAGGCGTCTGAGGCGTCTGAACTGAAACCAGTCTGAAACATGGGAAATGATCCCCCAACAACTGCGCCTGCCTTGAGAAGGCTCTCAAAAGGCCCCGCGCAAGGAAGTGGTCTACACCCGGAAAAATTGAAACGATTTCCGGAGATGGGAAGGAGGATTTCCAAAGAAGGGAAAGGCATGAGATAGGATAGGGGTCAGACTAAATCGGTCAAAGCTCTTCTTTTTGACAAGTCTTGAAAAGAGGCGCCGTCCCATCTTATGCTACGAGGCCTGGACTGCGGCCATTTGCTTTGGATCGGCCGCCATTCAAGCGCCAAGGAGCCATGGGAGGTGGAGCATCCTTTGAAACTCTTGTGTTGATGGCATCAACTTTCTTGCACTCTCGCGCAGCACTTGTCTGGCAACCCCTCTTTCCAAGACTTCCCGGAAGGCGATTTGGTCTAACCTGTATCCTATCATGACCTTCCCTTCCTTAGAAATCCTCCTTCCCATCCCCGGAAACTGTCCGATCTTTCCGGGGGTACTGACACTTCCCTTTGCGGGGAACTTGGCTCTTACCACGTTTTTTTGAACCTTCTTAAGGCAAACGAGCAGCAGGAGTTGGGGGGATCGTTTTCGATGTTTCAGACTGGTTTCAGACCTGGCTCAAACCGGCTCAGACGCTTTGGGAAGAAAAGCTCCCGCAAATCAGGCACATCGAGAAAAAGGACTTGGGCCAGCTAGTTAACATTCCCGGCACCCCGAGGCGCACTCCAAGTTGTTTCCGGACTTTTTCCGGACTTTTCCAGACGCGCCATGCTGTTTGGAGCGCTTGACAGAATTGAAATCAGATTCGGGGGGCCCATCACACACAGCCAGGCCCGGACTGTGGACATCTGCTTTGGATTTTTGATATGGGCCTGAAATTCACTTCATGCCCCACACTGGCTTGCGGCAGAATTGTGCCTGAGCAGGCTCTCAAGCAGGTATGGAAAATAAATATATGTGCGTACTATATTTAGTACTATATATATATATCATGTTATATTGCTAGATCGCGAATGAATGGTAGTTAGTGTCAGGGAATGGAGCGGCTTTCAGTAGTGACACTGTTGCCGGTGGGGTGGGAATCGAAAGTCTATGGGGCCCGAACCGACACAATCCTAGGAATCGAATCGACCAGAACCGAATGACAATTCTGAGAGATTCAATTCAACGCTAAAAGAACCGAACCGCACCCATTGACAATCGAACCGGGGTCACCCTGTTTTCCCAGATGTCCAGTGGCCATGGGAAAACAGCTCTTTCTTCGGTTGATTTCCAAACACATTGGCACCACTTGAGCTCCAAACCTTTTGGCGTCCTTTCTTGCCACTTGGTTACAGGGCAAGCTCTAGGTGGACTTTGAACCAGCTCTCTAGACGGCAATCGCCCTGTGGGGGGACATCTTCTTGCCGGTGCTCGGTAAATGACCGAGTCAGGGTGTTGGGAATGAACTGGTTTTGGGGATTCACGAATAAAGGAAACCGCCAGTTGGATGGTGTATGGGTGGTTCACTCCAACTCTCATTCCCTGTTCCTGGTTTTCACGGTTTTGAGGCTCTCTTTTGCCTGTAGCTGTATACACACCGAGGCGCCAAATATCCCAGGGCTCGATCACCGGCTGCGTAACGTCCAGCACCGGAGCAGAAATGGCCCGCGGGCCCACGCTCAAACCTGCGCGACAGCCGCATCCGCACGGAAAATTGATCAGGGGGCAGCGGTGGTCACCAATTCAAACATGTATTACACTGTTCAGACATTGAATGACGCTGGACCCAAGGGCCCACAACTCCACATCCCCATTGAGGCTAATCCCAAAGGATGCCATCTTGGTAGAGCCACACGGAACCACATATGGACCTTGTTGGCATGAGCCACCCGAACCACAGAGGGAGAGGGAGAGAGCGAGAAACAAGATAGAAGCAGATAGAAAAAGAGAGAGAACCAATGCTGGCTTCACCCGGGTCGTACATGCCAATGACCCAGCAAACATAGTCACGCGGGCAAATACGGCCACATACGGGCGGGGTGGTTCGCCAACACACGTCGGCCATATATGGGCGCCCATGCGCCCAGGCTGCAAACCAGGGACGAGCTGAATTTCATAAGCCACTCGGGCTTTCCTTGCAAATGTTTCAGCTTCCAACAGTTTTCCCGGCAACTGTAGCCTCGGGTTTACACGCAACGCGGGAACTATATTTGCCGTACCTTTTTCAGCTGGAAACGGTAGGCTTCCGCTCAGCCCGTTTTGACACTGCCCGTGTTTGAGCCCGGGCCCGTCATTTGCCTGCCGTGTTGGTGCGACTGGAAGCCCTCGCCATCTCAGCCTGAGTCGAACCGGTCGTTCGGCGAAAGGGAAAGCGACCTGAAATCAGGTCGGTTGAAGGAGAAAAGGAAACCCAAGCATAGCCAGTTTGGGGTCCTTTGCTTTTTGTTTTGATACATACCCAGACCTTTACACCCCTGTATGCACCTTTAGGTGCTGCCAATCTTGTCGGTGTTACTGCCATTTTTCCGGCGTCACCGGTTTCTTTTTGGCTTGCATTGAAACCAAACGGAGTGCTGCTCTTTCAACGTTCCGTTTCATCCCGCCAGAACAAGTCAAGTGCCCACTGGCTGTCTATTCCAGACGCTCCCCCATTTGGGTATGTGTCCAAACAGGGGGACCCCCAGAAATGGAGGTTTTCCGTTTGGTCCCTCTTACTAAACCAAACTGAAGGTACCGAGCCACCAAAATACACATACACACAACCATAAAAACCAGCCAAAGGCACTGTCTTCGCCCTCGCCGCAGCGCTGGCATGGGCATGTATGGACCGGCTCTGCCGTGGCATTCCAATTCCGCCAGGCTCCGAAATGATGCTGGACCTGGCAGAAGAATGCACAACGGCTTTGTCTGCTTTTGGGTCCTTTTTAAATTGGTTGGTTTTGAAGGGAAAGCCTTTCTGGGAAACCGCCGCGGTTTTCCCTGTTCTCCTTAAGCATCCCCAACTTGAGCAAAAAAGCATTGCCATGTGCAAATTAGACACAACCTCTACGCCTGGTTGTCCTTCCTATCTGTTGACCTTGTCTGAGATGATGGATGCAGGAGCGCCTGAACACATGACCTTCAATGAAAAGTTGAAACTTATACCATGTCCTTACAGGACTTCTGGTAGCTCCTTAGTTCCCTGTCTAAACAAAATGGATACCCCCAGCTCCTTGGCTCCGCTGCAGTCAAAACAAAGGCTCCTCCTCTGAAACGAGAAGGGCCACACCCTTTCGGATGCGTAGAGAGTGGTCTCTTGTTGGAACCTGGAAGCCTTCCATCACAATTGCCTTCAACGACAGGGCCTGACAAAGCCACGGGCACAACTGCTGGGTCATAGTCATAATGTCATAGATCTTGGTTGTAAAATGAGGTTGTGAGAGTACTTCTCAACATGTGCGACTTCAGGTTGATGTAAATGGGTGTCCTTTTTAATTTCCCTGTAAACAAATCCACCCCAAGCTATCCTCAAAAAACAGACACAGCCATATGGCCGTGGCTCAAAAAACCGGAATTCCAAAATGGGTTGCCCTGGTGAGTGGAAACATGGGTACCAAAACCTGCGGTTTGCCCCTCCTGTTTAAATTTTGAGCCACACATCCATATGCAATGTGACTTTCTGATTTCCCTAAAACAAATCCATCCCAAGCTATCCTCAAAAAACAGACACAGCCACATGTCCAGCAACTATGCCTTTCCTTTTTTTTTCGCGCCTCTTGGGAACACCAGGCAGAGCTGGGTCCATTATCAAAGACCTGGCGGAAGCCCGGAAAGGAGCTGGGACGCTCTAAGTCCTCCAGACTTGAGAGCCTAGAATAAGTTGGTACAGTACCCGATTTCATTTTTCAGTTTTGTCTGTTTTAGTAGAACCGAATCTCCCAGCCAAAAAAGGGGTTAGAAAGGACACTACTGGGGCACCTAGCTCTAGCTTTGGTATGTTAGCCAAGTACGATAGCAATCAAGCAACCAGAGAACCAAGAAACGTGTCAAGGACAATGAAGTACTCAACTTGTCAACTAGGCGGAGCTCAAGACTAGAATAGTATTCAACTGGCTGTTTGCAGAGCCGTTACGGACATGGTGTCCAACCATGTGTCTTCAAAAAGAACCTTCCGGAGAAAAAGCTCTGCAAGGTCATCTTGAAATCCAACAGGGTGAAAGTGGCTGGCACAATTCGTTTGGCGCAGGACGAAGCCAACATTTGAATTCGCTCTACCAACTCACCAGGTATCTCTCCGCAGGACAAAAAGGGCATGTCTGCCCTTTGAAAATGCTCGCCTGCTGAAAGCTGGGCATTCGCGGTTTATGGGTGCCCTTCAGATCTAGTGAGGCAAGACTTCCTTTTGCCTTCCCCTTCACAAACTCTTAAAAGCGTACCAAGCCTCAAAAACACGGCAGCCGCAAGTATTGACGATATAAACTTGTAATTACTGGACCGCGGTGGACATAGCGAACATCGGAAAAGCCAATCTCAACAAAGCTCAGAGTCAGCAAGCTATGCAACACATGGCCACGTTTTTTGCAGGCAATGCTATCTGCCATTCCAGGGTCGAAGTCCGGGTTGCTCATAGCCCGGAACCCAATACAAAATAATACAAATGAGGATAAACAAAGCTGCATTACAGTGTGTCAAGCACACAGCCAACAATTTCGGGCTATGTCCGAGCATCGACATCATGATGCGCACACTCCCGTCCTCCGAACGGCGAAGTCATGAGAAATGGACCTGTGCACGCTGCCATTGTGCATGTCGTCCAGCATTGCTCTGCCAAAATACACCGATGTCAAGTCTCAACAAACTCTCGGAATTGCTATGGTATTCCAAACATGTTTGGTTGTCTGCGAGCTGAAGACGCATCACGAATGCGAAGACAATACACGTCACTGTGTAAGTCTAAGCTACTGCATGCACATCACACTGGTGACACATTCCCAGATCCTTGCAAGGCTGCACATGTCTACCTGGCATGAGACCTGCGCCAGGCCTGCGCTCGCCGAAGGGCAGAACGTGTGGTGAAGCGTCGCCATTAAACGAGCTTTTGGACGGAGACCTGACGCGCGTCAGATGGAAAGGCTTAAAAACGATCAACACAGGAACAAGAAGAGAATCAGAAAGAACAAGAAAAGAGAGACAGAAACAGAGAGCGAGAGAGACAGAGAGAGAGAGAGAGAGAGAGAAAGACAAAGAGAAGTGTCACCCACATGTTTGACACTTCCGCCCATCCGCTTCATCGGCTCTGGCAAGAAGAGTAGTTGTTCCTGAACCACAATAGGCATGCACATGCAATTACACAGCTCGGCATAGTGTCTCACAAAAACTTCCAGGAGGCCACTGAGATACTCTGGTAGGTGGCTGTCAGTGCCTGATATTGCTCGACAATATGAACAGGTGAATGAAATAACAATGAAACCATGTTCTTCCCTCCGACCGGCGTTGTGTCTTTGTTCGTTTTCGCAAACCAACGCACCTTGGCGAGTGCACAATCGTCTCTCAAGGATGGCCAGAATGAGCTGTTTGTAAGGGTCGGGCAACATGAACGTGGGAACAGGGACGGAATTTAGCCAAGTGACAGCATCCAAATAAGTAGCTGCATGTCAAGCGCCTTTGAAATATGCTGCGCTTGTCAGTGTGTTTGCTCGCTTCTCATCCTGGCTGCAAATTCCTGGACTTCAGGTTGTTTATTGAAGCCACGTCTGGATGTTCCGTCGGCCCTTGCCCAATGAAGCTTAATCGGAGGTCCCAGACTGTCTGTCTGTCTGACCTAATCTCATCGATGTATCTACTCTATGTGTCTATCTATCTGTTTATCTGTCTGTCTATCCATCTATCTTTTGATCTGTCTATCAGTCGGTCTGCTTGTCTACCTATCTAACTATCTATTTCTCTCTCTAGTTTATCTACCTCCTGAGTACCAGCATAGATAGATAGCTATGTAATCTGTCTTGTTCCTTCTATCCATTCATTTGTACTATCTATGTTATCTATCTTATCGGTCTTATCTACCCCGCGTGTCTCATCTATCTACCTCTCTTTCTATCTATCTATCCCCTCCATCCGTCTACCGGATCTGCCTTACCGATCGAAGATCGACCTATCTGTCTATCTGTATGCCTGTCTGCCAATCTGTCTAACTGATCTGTCGATCTATCTATCTACCTGTCTGCATGTCCTTCTATTTTGCTACTTTTCCGTTGTCTACCTATCTAGTTCGCTCACGTTCGCTCTATCTGTCGACCTGTCTATCCATCTATCTATCCATCTGTCTAAGCAATCCAATCAACCTATTGTGTCTAATCTATCCACTGGGTCCAATCTATCAAATCATTAGTCTATCTACCCATCTTTCTCCTACTTATCCACCGACCTATCCCTCTCTATCAACCTATCTATTTCTTGTTTTTCGTCTTTCCTTCCTGCCTTCCTTCCCTTCTTTCTTTCAACACGCATTTCTCACGTTCTATCATATCTATCATGTCTTTCGTAGCTCTCTGTCGCTACACGAACCTGCGAAAGCGCTGCGCCTGCCCCGAAATCTACACCTGACCTTGCAAATTGCTGCACCTGTGACCTTACGAAACGCCTGCTGCGCCTGCCAGGGAGGTCTGCAGCTGACTGCTACCGCAGGCCTGCCACGAAGTTTGCGCTTGACATTGCGAAAGCTGCCTGCCACGCACAATAGTGTTGCGAAAATTGCGCGCGTCTGTGCCAATGGGCCAGGCTCAGAGAATGTTCCAAACGCGGTCGCGTGTGGTCCGAACGCGTTCCGACCAAGCGTCATGATCCGGCTAACATTCGAGCATCCAAGAGCCTTGAAACCCGCAGTGGTTTGCACCTTTTTCACATTTCTATTCCCCCGCCACACGCTCATGCATGTTTGCCGCGCACTTTGTCTTCTCTTGCCATCTGTCTCAAAGAGCTAGCTTTCAAGTAGTTGCCGTACCGCAGAAGTTCCGTCTAAACTTCCTGTGACAATCTTCAGCATATTGTGGCAGTCAACAGGTAGCATAATCCTATTGAGCGCAGCTTGACCACATTTGGGGTACAAATAGTCATATGTTCTGATCCTGCTCCATATTTAGTCTGTCCCAAAACCTGACATATGTTGGGAGACCCAGGCAAATGCCCTCAAGTTCGCGCCTGAAAGCCACCTGCGCCCCCATGTCCTGAGTAGGTGACCTGTGAAGAAGCGTCAAGACGTGACGGGATGTCGGACGTGACAGGATGTCGTGGGAATGGGATGACAAACCAGCCCTCATTGCGAGGTGAGGTTTGGTACAGGACATTTCAAGAACAAACACACAGTGAGTTCGGATAAAGGCACTTGCTTCAGGTAACGGAGTGCAAGTGCCTGGAAGGTCAAGCTGGATGTGCTGGTGGCTTCAAATCGTAGAGTGTTTGAAGCTTATGGAGCTGAACATGCTTGATCGAGTGAAAAATACACACGATCTGGGGCACGCACACAAGCACCTTTCATATCAAGCGAACAACGAACTGAGTGAATACCGTTGAGGGATAAAATGATGCCTGTACCTCAAATGCACATATCCTGTTTAGGGCTTTGTGATTAATTACCCTCAAGCATGCTGCAAACAGTCGTGTGGGGAATGCATGCGCACCCCCTAAGCCGTCTGGCCTTGTATTGTTCCGCCGCACGCCCGAGCGGGCCTGCCACAAACAAGGCGTCAATGATGGAGCCTACGTGTAGGCTCAAACACTGCAACATCTGAAGCCCAACGCCAAGCATCCCGTCCCCGCAAATCAATCATGGCCCATCATGGCACCAACATGTTGAACAAACATGTGTCTCAAAATGAAGGGACCCAAAGAAAGGTGGTTTTGGTTCCCCTATTTAAACCCACGACAAAAAGGGCCCCTCAAAACTGACACTCCCATCAGGTCTGCTCCTAGCAACTGCCCACCTGGCCTGGACTTGCCGTTGACTTTCGGTTCCGAAGGCTTGGTGTTTTTTTGTTGAGTGGCTTGAAGGGGGACGAAAGGAAGACCCCAATTTTGAGTGTCCGAATGCTTCGATTTCTTTTTTGAGACCATTTGACGGAAGCCATCGTACTGAAAGCCTCATCGTCATCGTCATCCAGAAAGTTCTTGACCTGCGCCTGAGATGTTTCGCCAGCATGGAACCTATTTTCGGCTTCGCCCACACATGCCTGTGTGTGTGTTTTCCTTTCAGGGAACCCTTTCCAGGTTGGGTTCAAGGACATCAAAAGGGCATAAACAAGAGAACCACTAAACGACCGTATTTTGAGAACCCACCTAAATGGGTCCCAAAATCGACCAAAATCGGATGTGAAAAAATGCATGCATGCTAGTCCTGTGCAAGCCATCGAAACTTTTCTCCTTGGAACCCGTGAAAAATGGGTCCCTTGAAGCACTGGTTTGTCAGAGTCGTAGCTTGTGCGGAAAACATGTGTGAACTCCATGCATCAATCGACTGAAGTTAAGTTTCCAGGCGAATGCCCGCGGCCTCCCTTGGTACAAGTCCATCTGCAACGGACACGTCAGACTCGTAAAATCTGGGAAATATGGCTGGCCTTGACAGGGAACCCCTGAAAATTGCTTGGACGTAAACCGCCACCTTGATATCCAAAAAGGCTCCGTTAAAAAACAACACAAAAAGCAGAAGCAAACTCGACATCCCTGGCCTTGAGTGAGGATCTTGGCTTCACAGCTGGTACAATTCCCAGCTCCGTGACGCTATCCCTTTTCAGCATCATCTCAGCCTGGCAGTCGACACGAAACTCCTGCTTTTCAGCTGCTCCCGCAGGACAGCCAGCCAGAGGGTCAATAGGGTGGTCTAACAAAGGATTTACCTGGCCATTGATGGAAAGCTGGCTTGGCATCTCGCTTCTACCAAGCAAAACGATAGAAGCGGCTCGTTGGCTAAATGTCAGGGCATCAAACCTTAGCAATCAAAGTGAGCAGCGACCAACACCCATTGACGGGTGGTTCTACTAAGTTGGACATTTAGGGCTTTACCATAACCCAATCAAGTCAGGTAGTAGAATCACCAGGTGTGTCCGGCGCTGCTCATTTGTTGTTGCAGTTCAAGTTGCAAAAGGGATAGCCAATGACAAAGCACGGCGATGCCTAGGCGTGCCCTTTCAATCCCTTTCACATGCACCGCTGTCTTCATGACCAATGCTGTACTGTGATTCAGCCAGAACCCCCCAAGCCGCAGTCTTGGTCTGAAGGCGACGGCTACGGTGGATGCCCCAAGTATTGCCACTAGAGCACGAAACACCCTGTAAATCCCATGGTTTGTGGATATTTAGGACATCCGACATCCACCGTCCCAAGTGAGAGTATGCAATCCGTGTGGAGTCCGAGACTTCAGGGCAAGGGCTTGCGCGTATTGGGCTTGCTCATATTTTGCATGGGGCCATGGGCTGATCAATGAAAAGCCCATCAGTTGTGTGAATGCAACTGTCGGTTGCCAAGCCAAGTGTGTGCGTGTGTGTCTGTGTCAGTCTTTTTACCCGTACAACGGCAACTTTCCTGTCGGTGCTCCTTCAAACCGCCCCAAAGAGGCTTACCAAACAAAAGAAACACATTCCAGCTGCGAACCGCTTGTTCAAAAAAGCAACTTGTTCATGTTTTTTTTTTTTTTTTTTTTCCGCGCGCTGGCGGAAAGAAGCTCGTTTGCCTCGTCCAAGTTCTCGAACAACTCCACCCCGCTGAGGCGGCCCTTGCTCTGCTCCCTGGGGCTCGGCGCCAGGACCTCGGCTGGAGGCCCACTTTGGATCGGAAGAAAACCCGGTGGATCCATAGGCAAACCCATGGGTTATGGTTGCCAGTTGCCCTCATATAACCCGAACGCAAACCCAAAACCTCAAAAAGGCTTCCATATGTTTACATCTAATGGATCCCAGGCAAGGCAAGCCACTAGCAGGCAAGTGGGTTTGGTGTGGGTTCTCCTTTTTTTTGGCTGGTTCCAAAGTAGTGTTGGAACTCTTGTGCTTCTTTTCTGGCTGGTTCCAAAGTACTGAAATGGACATTTGCTGGGCTGGGTAGGCTGAGGGAACAAATCCAAAACGACACGGGCGCCTTCACAGCCTTGGGTTTAACGCTTTCCAGGGGTAACTTCCCGATTCTGAACCCAGGGATCCATCTAGAAAATCACCAAAAACCCTGGGGAAATTGCGATCGGTTATTGAGAAAAGAACGTGGGACATCAACCCCTAGTTTTGTTGGGTTTTTGGGTTCACCGTTTTGGTACCGATCGGTTTTGAGTATGACTCAAGTGCCCATGCGGCAAGTCGGTCTTGCTTTTCTTTCTTTCTTTTTTTCGGACATGGACCCAGGCTCGGTCGAACATCGACCCCAAATGTGGGAGGTCTTTGGATGGATTTCTATTGAACAAATTGGGACCCCCTTCAAGTGGCAAGGGTTTCCTTTTGGTTTCCCCTAATTAAAACATGAAGGATAAGAACGGGATCCCGATGTTAACCCCCATTTGGCTGGTAAAGGGGACCCCGAAGGAAACCCTTGCCATTTTAGGGAACCGATTTTGAGACACACCCTGGGGTTGTCGCCAGATGAGTCCGGTTGCTGGTGAAGCCTTTGGGGCCGCTGCAAAACCAACGGGGTCCCCACTAAGGACACCGTGCCACACATCCGAGAAGACGAGCGAGAGAGACAGGAAAAGGGTCCCCAGCAGTGTTGCGACAAAATCATCACATTTAAACTTGGCCAATGAGAGCAAACATGGCCAGGAGCCTTGTCTTCTGTGGCATACAATGTTGCTGTCATCAACCTAAATCAACCTACAATTCTTGCAGCGTCCACCTGTCTCACATTTATACTTGGCACTAATTGCAGTAGGAGAAGAAACCCAGCCAATACAAGAGCAGCCTTTCCAATCAACAGCCACGAAGAAGAGGTGCTTGTGCTACACATCCAAGCCTTGACAGAGCTGACGGGGTTGTATATTTTGCTCCTGTAGTCTGGGTAGGATGCCCGGGTGCCAGAGAGTAGAATGCTCTATGTATAGATGTGCACTTGTTGTACGCAATGCCCACACATCTCTGCGATCAGACACTGACAATAATTCCTTGCAATCCACGCTTTTTTCGTCAGCCCTCGATCCAGTCTGCTTTAGGTTGACAAGAACTAATTGCTGGGAGTGGTAGTTGCTGAATTGCAACCAAATGCCTCAGGCGCTGCAATCCTGGGACTGGCTTTCATACAACCGACCCTGACTGTCCCAGTCTTAGACCTGCAAAAAGTGAACTTGTTGTGAGAAATATTGGAAATTCATATTAATATAGGAAATGCGCAGAGAGTCTGTGCCGAACATGCGGGCACGCCCTGACATGGGCAGATTTGTTTAAAAGATCCCCCCAAAATCCTTGCCAAGTCTTCCCCAGAAAAAGGAACATTCAATCATAAATGGAATTGTAGGGGTCACCGTCCTCCCCCAATTCCATTCAGGGGTGGAGACTTTAGAAATAAGCAACGAGAATCTGACTGCGACCAATGCACCACTGGGACGGGCTCGTGAAGGCTCCTCGAGACCGTTGGCACCTTCGAAGGATCCTGGCACGTTCTCCCATCGGCACCGTATCCTGAAGAAAAAACCTCTAGCCGTTGCGGGCCATACGTCATTCCTTTTTCCTTTGGCCCTCCAGTCCGGCAGTCTGGAGTCTCCTCACGCCTTTGGTAAGTGGTGGTTTGGACTTCAGGGGGCACCTTCCTCATTGGTTTCAATAGCCGGGGTTCAAATCCCCACCAATCCAAACCACTAGTGAAGGGCTGGAGAAAAAACACCTCCAGCCGTACATAAGACGTTCCTTTTTCCCGTGGCCCTCCAGTCTCGCAGTCTGGAGTCTCCCTACGTAAGAGTCTGAAAGATTCGCAAGCCTCGAAGTCACCAAGCCGACGCACGCAAACGTTGCAGCCATCTTTTGACCCCTTCGGACGTTCGCGGTGAGGAAATCTAGTGAGTCCCCCTCATGTTTGTCCGGACACCAGACCGGGAGTTTTGATCGAACCTGATAATATAGGCCTTACAATAGCCCCCATGAAACCAGATACAGTAGAGTCAGCCGAAAAGGCGTTCCTCAATTTCAGCTTCCCTGTTCATAACTCGCCAGCCAATTGGGGTTTGTCAAAAACATCGCCCCTTGTTGGACCCTGTTGGCACCACCGAAGGTGACCAGAAAAGGGCACAGAATTTTGACAACCCCCAATTTTCCATTGCTTAAGCCCCCTGGGAAAAAAAAAGTGGCAGGTTCCCTTTAAAACCAAAAAAGAAGCAGCAAATGGAAGTTTTCTGCCATTGCCCCTCTGGAAGCAATTGCAACAGTGACGAGGCGTTTTTTTGCGCCACAGCGGCGGAGGGCGGGGCCTGCAATCCGTTGCGCAAGGCCTCGATCTCTTGGCGGAGCGCCGAGACAATGGCCTGGCATTCGGGGTCTCTCTTTTTTCTCTAGGGAACCCCCCCCCCCCAACAACAAAAAATGATGGTGTTGTGCGTTCCTTCTTTGGTTGTCCTGTAAAGCCACAAAATCATGAAAGGAACCCTCAAACAAAATGGACACACCCCAAAAATCATCTAGGCGTGAACCTTAATTCTATACCCCGCCACACATGGCAGACTGGTGTCCTTTCGGAAAAGGGTCTTGCGCACTTCCATGTTTGCAGGCAGGGCAGGGACCAAATCGAAGGGGCGCTTCCACTCGAAAATGTCCATGGAGGAGGCTTACCCTTTGGGGTTGGTTTCAATCAGGACGCCAATGATTTTGGGGGAGTGGAGCTCACAAGGACTTGGCGTGGATGGATGCGATTTGCTTTTCCAAACTCGCCTGGGGTTCGATATTGAGCTCGCCTCATCCAATACTTTCAGCGTGCGACAATGTGACCCTATAATGGCACGTGTCAAAAATAAGTTGACTGCGGACCCCGGAATTTGTGTTCATTCTGGCTTCGCTCAGCCCAGTTAAACAGGGTACAAAAACCCTCAAAAAACTCACGGATCATCGAGAACTTGTCCGTTTTTGTGAAACCAGCAGTGGAGCCCGGCCAAGAAAATCAAGAACATGCTTTAGCTGAGGCTGAAAGATTGTCATTTCATGGACCCCTAAGGGTGATGGGGGGGGCCACTATCCTAATCCCAGGGTAAGTGAAGGATAATATGGCCTTATTGAGGGGTTAATAAGGGACAGGTCTTCTCAGGGGTGCATGATCGTTGTTGGGAGCCAATGAAAAATGAACACACGCGCACACACACACACACCCACGCATGCACGCACGCACACGCACACGCACGCGCCCGCGCACGCGCACGCGCACGCGCACGCGCACGCACACGCATGCACACGCACACGCACCCGCACGCGCACGCGCACCCGCACGCGCACCCACACACACACACACACACACACACACGCGCACCCACACACACACACACACCCGCACATGCACACGCACACGCACACGCACACACACACACACACACACACACACACACACACACACACACACACACACACACACACACGCACACACACACACACACGCACACGCACACGCACACGCACACGCACACGCACACGCACACGCACACGCACACGCACACGCACACGCACACGCACACGCACACGCACACGCACACGCACACGCACACGCACACGCACACGCACACGCACACGCACACGCACACGCACACGCACACGCACACGCACACGCACACGCACACACGCACACGCACACGCACACACACGCGCACGCGCACGCGCACGCACGCACGCGCAGCGCACGCACGCACGCATGCACGCACGCACGCACGCACGCACGCACGCGCACGCGCACGCATGCACGCGCACGCGCACGCGCACGCGCACGCGCACGCGCACGCGCACGCGCACGCACACGCACTCGCACACGCACACGCACACGCACACGCGCACACAGCACACACGCACACACGCACACACGCCCACACAACCCTACAATCGCGATCACACGCAACTAGGTCCAAGCCGGGTGGAGTGATTCAGGACAAACTGACATTCGCTTAAGCGGCTTAGGTGGCTTCCCCCTAGACACGAAACGCTACAATCTCAACCAAGAAGCATACACAGCGGCACCGAATAGACCACCAACATCAAAACAACATTTATCGATCCTACCAGGAGCACAGGATGATCCCTGCTTACTGGGACTTTGCAAAATCTTTGTTAGGCAAAGGCTTGTAAGTCATGTCTTAGTCTCAGGGTCTTTTCAGACTCGCCACACACAAACACAAACCCACTCACGCATCTCGCACTGACAGTCACACACACACAATTGCATGAATGCAAGTAGCCAAACACGGCATGAAATGATGGCAAAACAGTGCGCAGTGTATAGTTCGTGCTTGCTTCATAGCACAGTGTGACAAGATCTTCCGCCTCATGGGTGAAGGAGTTTCTTAAAATGCTTGGCCCCCTTCTGGTTGGTTTTTGAAGCGAACCTGAAAGCAACACAACCATCTTAGCGGTCCGATTCTCTTAAAATATGGGACCCCCCCCCGGTGGCTTTCCATTTCCCTTTAAAGCAAGAAAAGCAAATGGGGCATCCTCCAAAAAAACAAACACACCCATCTTGCGAAAAGCTTAACTCTTATGCAACATTACATGGACCAATAAACCGTAAAAACAACAAACTATTCACCTAAGGGTACAGCTGGGAACCGCCACTGAACCGCCAAGCGTAAAATCCATATTTTTAGACATATTGTCAGGTTCTCGCCTTGTGACGCCTCACAATGCTCTGGGTGATCTCTGCCTGACAGTCGGATTTCTGGCAAAATCGGGCCTCCCAAAATGGGTTGCGGTTCTCCTTTTGGCTTCCCTTTACCCGCCAAACAGGGAACCCTCAAAAGAGACAGAGCCATGTCGCACGGGTTTCCAAACACCGCCCCGAACTTCGACTTTTCGAGAGACTCCAAGTGCATCCGGAATCCCATGCGAGGGGATTGGCCCAGAACCGAAGCTGTACCTTCTGGGGGAAAGGGGGTGGGGACCCCAATTTCATTCCTCTAGTCTTCCATTGAAAAAGGACAATCGGTTACCACAAGTGGAATTCCAAAGGTTACCCCCCTCCCCAAATTCCATATTTTAGGGGGGAAGGGATAGCAAAATGCCCTCAATTTGTCGAGACCTCTGAACCAAGACCAAATCAGAAGCCGCCCCGACCCTAAACCAACCCAACATAGAAACCCTAGGTTTGGGTGTAGCGCTTCTGGAAAAACAAACTGTTATAGACAGATAGCTGCAGGCCCCTTTCTCCCCCCACCCCACATCGGAGTGTCTTTTTCGAGGCGAACCCTTTGTGTGTTGGAAGGGAAACCAAACTTTGCCCCTTAGGGACCTGGAAATAAAAGGTGATCACCTTTTGGGACCTTCTTTTAGAATGGTTGCCACAAAGTTTAAAAAAAAAAGAGGTCAGATCCGGTCGATTCGGTTTGGTTGCAACTGAGCAAAAGGACAACCGACCGGGGGCACCTGCTGCGCTAGGAGCTTCGAAAACTCCGCATCCGTCTCCACATCCATCCCGGACGGCGAACAGGACGGCGATCGTGGCTCGCCGAGCCCAAGTTCGATAGGAAGCTCCCAAAATGGGGCTCTCTTTTTGAAGGGATAGCCACAAAACCCCTTGCCAATTCTTTGGGATGGTTTTGAAGAGATACCCAAAAACCCTTGCCATTTTGGGACATGGACCACTCTTTTGAGGAGAAAAAACAACAGCTCACAACTTGAACATTCGTGTGGTTGAGTCATTCTGCAAGATCTCTGTTGCCCGGGTCCGATTGGGGGGTGACGCTCAAAGCGGGAGTATCAGGACATTTGAAACGGAACTGGCTTCTGATCGCTTCTCCTTGATGCATGATGTCAAGCAATATTTTGGCCAGCAGGTCAACATCTGAGCCAATGCTGCGTGCCTGGCTTTCTCTTGCGGACTTCATGAGCCGTGCTGCCAAAATTACCGCTGCCATAAGAAGAAGCCATCCGTCATCACATGGCTCTTCTAGCCACGTGCAGTACAAGGCACGTGGCCATCGGTTCGATTCAAGCCACCTGGCAGTATTCCCAAGCAGGGTGTGGCTCAAAATGAAAGAGCTGGGGCAAACCGCTGGTTTTAGTCTTTGGTCCCATTTCCAAGGTGCCATTCTTCCATTTGCTTAACTCCGGAAAAACATATTTCCAGTGGTGATAGATTCCCTTTCCAACCAGCAGGGGAAAATAAACATGTTCTTAAGCAAATGGAAGCATTTGGTCCCACTTCTTGACCCGCAGCGAACTGAAACCAGGCATGGAGATCTCCGGGGGTCGCCCTACTCACAGACTGCGAATCGGCCCCATGCACTTCGTGGACGCTGCATCCGGAAACCTGACACCCGACGCCCGAAACCCGCCGCCTCTGCGAACCTGCGGTTGCAGTCCAGAAAACAGAGTGGTAAGGTTGTCTCAAAATTAGGGAACCTCCCCAAAACTAATGTTCCTTCTGGTGTCCTTGCTAACCGCAAAAGAGGTTCCCCAACAAAGACACGCCCAAGGGTATCATGTGCCTTACGTTTGTCTTTTCGACCTTAGCCGATCGTTTGCTGGCTGCCCATACACCGATTTGGTAACATATGGTAAAAAGGGCCACGGTCAAAAACGGGTTTGGAGCAGAAAAAACGACCGCCCCCCCCCTTCACGCTGCAGGCTCCTTGCATGTTATCATGCTTACACCAAACCCATGCTTGTCAAACTGCAACTTAGTGCCTTAAGGGGGGTGATGGTCGCAGAAGTGCAAGCAACAGCACAAAAAAAACGCCCTTTTGGCAAGAGGCGTGGTTTGAGCGTTGATTTTGGTTTGGAAGCCAAGCTCAGCCTCAAGCCATGTCCTGTCCACAACCCCCGCCTTCTGGTAGGCAGAAAGGAAGCCTCAGGCGGGCTTCCAACTTTTCAAGGCAGCCCATCATGGCCCATGATGTTTTGTCGAGCTTGGGGGTTGTCACCCGTCAAAACATGGGGGGATTGTCAAATTTAGGGGTTGTCAACATTGACAAAACTTTGTGGGGGGCGGGGGGGAGTTGTAAAAATCAGGGGGTCGTTTTTGGGCACACCCTATACAAGGCGGCCTTGTTCTTCAGCGCCAAAACGGGTCCAAAGACAAACCGGCCAACGCAGGTTAGGGGATCAAATTTGCAGTTCAAAGCCTCAGCTCTCCAAACACATCTGGGTCTGTGGTAATTGCCCTTGCTGGGGGCTGGATTAAAGGGAAACCCACAGAGAACCAAGCACTTTTTTGGGGGTGCCCGAAAACAAAAAGAAAGAAAGACAGAAAGACAGAAACGACCAGCTCCCATGTCCCGGACATCTCATCTCCCATTTTCCGGATGTCTCAAATTCGGGGACCCCCGAAACTGGATTTGGGCTTGGCTTGCTTTAAAAGCATCCAGTTGGGGGCTCCGCCAAAATGCATCTCCGGCTGAACGACTGAGCCAGGCACGATGGGTCGCCTCCGACATGGTGGAAGCGGACTTCTGCGAGAAGGGCGAGGGAGCCAACGTCTCCACCTCGAAGCTCTGAACCTTTGCTGATAGCAATTCTTGGTTGACATTGGAAAGGGAGCAAACACAGAAATTCTAGCAGATACGTGAAGATTTCCCAATAAACCACAACAAGCAAAAATGTAACATGCTTCCCAACAGCAACCGTGAACTAGGCAGCAAATCCCAGGGGAAAGTTTGCTCACTTTGAGTTTGGTAAAAAGAAGGCACGCCCAAATGAGCAGCAAAGTGGCTGCGAAAAATGCAGTCAACATCACGCAAGGTTGGAGTGACGACAAATATGATTCCTGTCAAGTCACATGCAATAATTAGTATATATAGCTCTTAAGGTTCGACTCAAACCAGAAACAGCCCGCTGCGAAGCAAACATGTTGCGTGAATGTTCCTGAAACCAACCTGGCTACTCAAACATGCACCGCATGCAGAACAGGCAATTTTGTTGTTGGGAAACTCATCACAAAGGCAAAGAAGCTTGGAACGACATCTGAGCTTGGCTCCTTCCCAAAGCTGCCGAGATTGTCATGAGGAACTGCTCAACTTGCCCAAAACAGCCAAGTTGCAGTGCATGGCGAGGCATCTGCTGAACCGCCATTGGGCCCTGCGATCACTGGCACTTGCAGCATGTGGCACTTGCAGTATGAGCTGGGGCTCTAGTTGATGGTAGTCTTTGATGGCTTTGCTCGACAGTAAAGTTTGCATGGCAAGCGGCATTCAAGTATACTAGGTCCTCCAGTAGAGAGGCTAGAATAAGGATACCCTTTTTTCTATAGTCTATAGTCTATTTTAGTAGGGGAACCCTCCCCAAAAACAGGGCAAAAGGGCACTACTGGGGGACCTAGTATAGCCACACTCCACCCCCGCCCGAACTGCGTGAAATCAAAGTTTTTAGTTGCCATGGAGGGTCGCTCAGCTCAGTCATTTCGGTCTGTCCTCTGGAGTCAAATGTGCCAGCCTGAGCAATGCCGGTCAGGACAGCCATTGTCAAAAGTCGCGGCTGCTTGAGAATACATCGTTGTCTTCAAAACATGAACGCCGCAAACAAGATTCAAAATCGAAAAGCGGCTCACTATACATTTTGAGCTCTTCATTTTGTTGAAAGTCAATGACCTAGGTGGTTACAAATTTGGAGATGACCCATATTTCGAGTTCACAAGCATCTTTCCACCCGCTATTCGGGCCAATCATGGGGGCTCCGCTACCCAGACTTCTCAGAACCCTTGGATCAGAATCCCTTCCAGCAAAGTTCGAGTTGTCCGAAGGACCCAGAAATGGAAGGTTTACCTTTTGGCACCTTGACTTTAAATGGACCAACATGGGAAAATTAACAGGTGCGTCAGAATCAAAACATGGCATTAAAATGGTCTACCCAAAACCATGTGCAGAATCAACCAGGTGGCCGCACCCATTTATGGCCGGGATTGTCAACTTACTATCCTTAATCTACCTGGGTTTGTAGCAAGTGGCTCAGGTCACATCCGGTCGATTCGCTTTGGGCAACTGAGTTCCAGGGCTGGGGGCGAGTTGTCGGCAGGCACAAGTTCCTGCAGTTTCATGGGGACTTCCAATCCCAGACCAGTATTTGGACACTTGTCTTCTCCCAAAAAGTTGTGCAACCAAAACAAGGGGCGCCATTGGACAAGTGATTGGGACAATGGTACCAAGTGTGCAACCAATGTTTGGGACAACCAACACTTGGCGCCAAAACAATGTTCCTTGCAGTGGACCTTCCGTACCCATGGCTACCATCGGCTATTCACTGCGACCTTCACATGGGAGACACGTGCTCGGCTGCAAGGCCCTAAGGACCTTGGCGCAACATGTGCAAAGCTAGGCTTGGCGTGCTGAGGTTGACAGGCTTAGGCACAAGGGCGGTTCTCAAAAGTGTGAATGCCCTTTTGGTTGGTATTCCAAATGAAGCCAAACTGCAAACCAACATGTTACGGGACCACGATTTAAGAAACCTCGGATACAAGAGGATAAACGGCTTTAGCAATAGGCAGGTGAGAAAAGTGTGGTAGGCATATGAGTGGTCGAAAGCAGTTCCCATTTTCGAGAATCCATCTAGCTGCCAGCTTCCTCCCCTGAGCAGCCTGGCATTGATACGCTCTCATTCCAAACTGGACGTGTCTCAAGCTCTCTCGTGGCATTGCAATTGACAGTGTTCGCTGAAAAAAAGGACCTCCATGATGCGATTGAAAGCAAAGCCGGGGCCCCCCCCGCCATTGATTTTCGAGGTGGCCTTGTTGCTAAAGGCTTCTCGATTCTCACGAAGGCAGTGTTGCGGCCGGCTTTCCAAAACAACAGAGATCTTGGCGACACTTTCATGCTGCAGTATACTTCCAACCATTTTGGAGGGTCTACCTATTTCCAGGTTACATTCTTGACATGTCACTTGAGCCACAATGAAAAAGCTTGCTATTAAACTGGTTTATCCAAACCAATGCCAATGGTTGAGCTGTTTTCTTACTAGCCGGTAATGCAAATGTGCAAACAAAAACACGACTAACCAGGCGGCCGCAGCTTTTTTTTGCTTCGGACTGTCGCAACCTGACTCCGACCTGCCTGGCGTGAAGGCGGCACGGGCACCTGATCGATTGCCGATGCGGGGGAGGGAGCCCAAATAAGCCCAAAATAAGGCCTTAAGGGCTTATTTGGACCCCCCTCTCCCACCCAGCCCCCATGAACAAAACCCGTGACTGTGGCTTTTAGCCCATGTTGTTGCCACATAATCGTTGGGAACTATGTTGCATGAAGCATTCAGCAAATATGGCCTGACAATACATCGATTGCGCGGTCTTCTCTTGGCGTCCGATTCGGTACCCGCCCCTGGACGCCTTTTCGTGGACAACTTGAGGTGCAATAAGACTCGGCCTGACGCCAAAGCTATCCTGCAGCATTGCAGGAATCCGCAATGACATGATGCAAGTCTGAAAGCGGACATTGTCACATTCAGGGTTCCAATTTGTTGATTACCCAAAGATAGCTTTAAACCCAGGGGTGCTTGATTTGGCCTCAGAAGAAACCTCTCCGCTGAAGTCTACCTTTGGGTGATCAAACA